AAAAATGTAGCTTCCGTGAATTTGCTAGGGGCTAGTTCATCGCTCATGCAAATTGCATCTATTCGAGGCGCCATCAAAGTAATGATGTCAGGTCGATGCGACATATTCATGAATAGATAACGGTCACTGTGTTTGCTATCTTGCGAGTTCCAGCGAGTGACGCATCGATCAGCAGTGACAGAAAGTGGTTACGAGAGAGGCTGACTTAACTGTATTTCTTGATACTTGGATTGTTTTATCACGTTGCTTATTTATTCATGAACCAGCTTTCATTCACTCGAGCAGCGTTCGAAACGGAAGGTGGCGCAGCTTTGGGTTTGGTTAAGTTGTTTTTTTCTTATTTCTTTTGTTATCATTTGTGAGTAAATATTATGATACGGATGTGATAGGTCGATTCTTTTTGTACATACATGCATATGTACATATTGATATAATACTTACATGTATGCAAAAATGTACATACATACAAACATTCATGAATATATATACACACATGCATTTATATGTATATATGTATATATGTATATATGTATATATCTATATATGTATGTATCTTTCTATCTGTCTATCTATCTATCTATCTATCTATCTCTATCTATCTCTATCTATCTATTTATCTATCTATCTATCTGTCTATCTATATATCTATCTATCTATCTATATATGTACATATATAGACACATAGATTCGCATATATATGTGTATGTGGTGTGTGTGTATCTATATACATATATAGATGTCTATATATATATACACACACATATATGCATACACACATATATCTATACATACAAACACACACACATCAATGTATATATGTATATATGTATATATGTATATATATATATATATATATATATATATATATATATATATACACACACACACACACGTATATATATATATATATATATATATATATATATATATATATATATATATATATATATATATATATATATATTTATGTATATGCATATATATATATATATATATATATATATATATATATATATATATATATATGTATATATATATATATATATATATATATATATATATATATACGATTACACACACTCACACACACATACACACACACACTTGCATATATATACACACACACACACATATAAACATGCATATAAGTACACATACACACACACACACACACACACACACACACACATACACACACATATATGCATATATATATATATATATATATATATATATATATATATATATATATATATATATGTATATATGTAGATATGTATATATATCTATATCTATATATATGTATACATACATATATATAGATATAGATATATGTATATGTAGGTGTGTGTATGTGTATGCATGTATACATGTATACTTAAATTGCTCGATATTAAGCTGCTGCATTTTTCCTTTCTTCTTCTTTTTGTACGTGTGCGATAGTTCAGTCATAAAAAGGCGAATGTTTATGATAACACTTTATGCGAAGTAAAATGTATGTATTTTTCGCGTCAGACATTTATGCGTATTGCTAATAACTGGACGAAACCTTGAACGATCAGTTTGCAGATAATGACGGGTAATTGTGTAAGGCTTCATTGCTGCGCCTTTGATGTTTGCAATGCAGTCTGGAAATACTGTCTAGTCATTTATCTCCATTAGAAATTAGACAGTTATAGGTATGACCTTGTTTGCGGTGTGTGGAGACCGAAAAAAAAACATGTTCTTTGTAGTATCAGTGTTATGACTATAATCTCTTTTCAGTATTTGTTTTTTATATTCTTGTGCATGGTGTATATGATTAAAAATTAATTTGTTTGTAGTACTTTACACGATCTATCCACACATATGTAGCTACATGTGTTTACAGAAGTATGCACGTACATAGGTGCATGCAAATGGGCAATGACACACGCTTATAAACTACATATTTAAGTATGCCTCATTCGTACTATATACAAAACTTCAAGTATACACATACAGGGGCTCACACACACACTTAAATAAGAATAAGTGTTTCTTTAGGGACATCAGAGAGGTAAGTTGCATTATAAAGTCATGTCACGCACATGTCTACATACATACGGCTGAATGCACATGTACACACCTACGACCACAGTAGTGAGTGTAGGGATTTCTTAGATATTCCTGTGAAATTTGGATAGTTGATGAAGATAGTAATAAATATTCTGTTAAGAGTTAAGTCAGAAATTAGTTTTCCTAAGAAAAAAGTTGAATAAAAGAAAAAAAATAAAGAAAGAGAAAATACTAATCTAGATTCGTTTTTCCCTTCTTCCTATTCCTCCCCCTTTTTTTTTCTTTTCATTTGTTTCCTTTTATCATCCGTTTTTCATGCTATCCTTCTGTCCTCTCTCTCTCTCCCTCCCCTCATCAATTCCTTTCCTTAACTTTTCCCACCATTCCCACTCTCCCTACACTCCTTTTCCCTCCCACACTCCTCACCCCCCTCCTCACTCCCCTACTCCTTATTTTTTTTTACTCTTATCCCTCTTCTTTCCTCCATTTCCCTTATCCCCCTTCCTTACTCCTACCCCCACCACCACCCCTCTTTAACCCCCCCCCACCCCCACACCTCCACCATCCCCCTTTACCCCTACCCCATTACCTCCACCACCCCTCTTTACCCTCACCCCCACACCCCCACCTCCACCACCCCTCTTTAACCCCCCCTCCCCCTCACCTCTACCACCCCTCTTTACCCCACCCCCCTCCCATCCCCCCCATCCCCCCGACCAACAGCATCCTGAAGCTCCTGAACCAACGTAAGCTGGAGACGCTGAAGGAGCGATGGTGGAACCAGAATCCGGAGAAGAAGAAGTGTGAGAAAGACGATGACCAGAGCGACGGCATCAGTATCGAGAATATTGGTGAGGAAGAGAAATCTTTTATTTATTTATTTATTTTTTAAGTATGTGTAGAATCTCATGCGTACGTACATATATAAGAATCTCGTATAGAGCATATGTAGAATCGTGCATATGTAAAATCTCATACGCACATACATACACAGGCGGGTAGAGAGTCAGATGCTGATGCGAACTTATAATCAAAGTGACACTTTTCACTTATAATGTCACTTATAATATGAATTCTTACATACACACTTAAACTCAAACATACATATACATACACATGCATACGTGTTTTTTTTCTGTATGCGTGTGAGAATATGTATATTTGTGTGTATTTCTTTACCTATCCCATATATACCTATACATTATACGTCTAACATATATCATACATCACATAAACACACAACCCAAAACAACACACACCGATACCCTTACCAACATACACGCATGTTCAAAACCTGTTCATCTACCCTCCCTCCCTCCTCACCTTCCCCTCCCTATCTTGCAGGTGGTGTGTTCATCGTGATCTTCGTGGGCATCGGGCTGGCGTGCGTGACCCTGGCCTTCGAATACTGGTGGTACAAGCATCGCAAAGGACCACGTGTTACCGATTCTGCGAAGGTGCTTTCGGTCAGGGAGATTGAAAAGACAGAAAAATCGAACTTCAATACGGAATATAAGTAAGATTTTTTATTGTTTTTTTTTTCTAATGTTTTTTTTTATGTTTTTTTTTTCTTTGTGGGTGTTTCGTGTTTTATATATATTTTTGATTTTTGTATATCTTTTAAAAGATTTGTTTTTTTTGTGTGTGTTTGTTATATACGTTATTCTATGTTATTTGTTTTATCAATTTATTTATACTTTTCTGTCAACTCCATGTTTGTCTTTTGTTTCTTCAGATTTTTTTTTCTTGGCTTTCACTTCATTTAATTAATCCCTATTTCACGTCTTTTCGCTTTTATTCTATCCCCATTTTCTTCGTATCTTTTCCTTCTTTTGTCTCTCTCCAACTTTCTCCATTTCATTCTTTCTTAAGAGTAAATTTCACCTGTCTTTTCTCAATTTTCATTAGAATTTCCAAAGTATATCTTTTCATTCAGCCTTTCATACTGACGATAATAATGATAATGATAATGATTATGGCAATAATAATGATAATAATAATAATAATAATAATAATAATAATAATAATAATAATAATAATGTCTATCATTATATTATTATCATTATAATCATCTATAGCATTCTTATTATTATCATTGTTATTGATATAATTATCATCATCATCATCATTGCTATAACTGTGATAATATTTTCTAATCATGATAGTGGTGTTGACAATAGCAATACTAATTACAAAAACACTACTGAAAATAATAGTAATAAGACATAATAACAATAATAAGTAAACTAAGAATATAGATGAAGATAAGACACCATAAAACGAAGTAAATAGCTATAAAAATATTAAATAAACATATCCGGAAACTCACCCTCTCTTACGTCATAATTGCTAGTCATGCACAAAGTTGCAATTACTTTCAAAACAATTTCATGCTCTTTTTATCCTTTTCCTTTTACGGCTGATTAATTCTTGTCTTCGTCACTTTCTTCGTAAATAGATTTAATAAAGCTGAATATTATGTGTATTTGTAATTTATGTTAATTTTTTCGTGTTCATTATCATATTAAAAAAAAAAGTTTTATGTATTTGTTTAAGTATAATTCATGTGTCTAATTCTTTTTTTTCCTTTTTTTGTAAATTGTGTTAGAAATCTATACTAAATAGTATTCAGCTCAATTTTAGCAAAATCTTTTATATTCATATATTGAATTAGTCCACATTTGTAGACTAAGGTTCTTCACCAGTAAATATAAAATGCTTCACTAATCTAAACCGGTATATTTTTCATTAGTGGTATTAGATTTTCACCAATAAATACTTCACCTTTAAATAAAAAATCACTTTTTGTTGCAGAATATGTTAAGATAGTTTTGTAGAGTCACCATAGTTATATATATATGTGTGTGTATCTCACGGTTAAAATCCTTTATACCTTAAATCCCCCAGACTAAATCTCCGCTGCTTTCCTGAGATAAAATCCTGCTTAAAAATCCAATTATCTCGCACTCAACTTTTGTAAGATCACAGTCACTAAATCTCTTTTACTAATTCATATTAATCTCCACCAGTTTCACACGAATTCTCTTGAAAAAATCCTGGTTTTACCCATCTTATCCAACTCTTTCACAATCTCAAAAAAAAAACGTAATAAACATCAACATTAAATCGTTTAATAAAAAAAAATCCTATCCAGCAACGTCACACCTTTCCCCTTTCTCCCAACCAAACTCACAATCCTTTTTCTCCCAAACAAACAAACAAAACGAACAAATTAAATAACACGAAAAAAACAAAAATAAAAAGCCAAAAGATACATAAGAAAATACGAGATAATTTTAAAGTAAATCAACAAATCTAACATACAAATATTCTCGTACAACACTGATATAAAATTCCCGACCACTTCTACCCCATCCAGCTCCGTGCTCGGTCAGTGAAAAGGGGAAAGTCCTCTGATCTCTGACCTTTGACCTCGCTTCAGTAAGGAATCGTAATTGCTATGTTGACCTGTGATGAAACTACTGCATGTTCCCTTCTATTGCTTGCCTCACTTGTCTTGATATTGTTATTATTATCTCTTATAATCTAGTGATCTTACTACAATTAATGATACTAATAACAATATTGACAATAATTATATCACATTTAAAGATTAATTTCACTCATAACATTGTCAGAGCACATCAGTATTATGTCAGTTGTATTGATGGTGAGTGAAAGGATCTGGAACCAATCTGAATAAAGATTAATGATAAGTAGAAATCCCATTTCATCAAACTATTTCGCCTCATTGCCAGGAAAACATTAATATCTTTGGATCCAGTTAATCTTGCAAGAGAAAAAGAATGTAAGAAAGGGCTGAGATGCATGATATTTAAACAGAAAGAGTTGTTTTTTTTCGTTAGGATTTTATGGTTAGGGACATGTGGAATATTTTCTAAAATTATGCATAGTCTCGTTTTTTTCGCATGACGCATGATTTTTTATTCATATGAACCCATAACAGTTGAAACACAAAAATGAAAGAAAATAATTATATATACACACACACACATATATACATATATATATGTATGTGTGTATGTGTGTGTGTGTGTGTGTGTGTGTGTGTGTGTGTGTATGTGTGTGTGTGTGTGTGTGTGTGTGTGTGTGTGTGTGTGTGTGTGTGTGTGTGTGTGTGTGTATGTATGTGTACTGACTACACTTGACTTATTTCATGTAATGCATGTATGCATGATGTATCAATTTTTGTCCAAACCAAATGGTGTCTGGGCTAATGCTGATATTCTGTGCTTTTTTCCTTAAGTTTATCTCATACACTGAATGAGAACATACCGTAATCTTTACATTGTCTGTAACGGGGATATCATACTATTGACAGCTTCAGAAATGCAATTATTACACCATTTTATGTAAACTTATGGAAGTATACTTTCACATACTTTATTTCAACGTTAATGTATGGTTTACGGAATGTACTCCAATTGATATTTTGACACACTGTTTTGAATAGTGTTTTTTATTTATTTATTTATTTATTTATTTATTTATTTTTTTTTTTTTTTTGCAAATTAAGGTAGAGAGTTACATAATATGTTTACTGTTTTACATTAAATACAATTAAATTACAATTAGAGGGGATTCACTTGATGTCGCCAAAGAACATAAAAGCAAAACAATCACACCAACATATTTCCTAAGAAAGTAATAACATGAGAAAAAAAAAAACAATATATACATACATACATACATACATACATATATGTATGTATATATATATATATATATATATATATATATATATATATATATATATATATATATATGTATATATATATCTGTATATGTATGTGTATATATATATTTATATGTATATGTATATATATATGTATGTATGTATATATCCCACCTTTCAATATTCTTTGTTACCACTTGCCTAACCGATTTTTTTAACATCCATTCTTCCTCCACAGCGGCACAAACAACGGCTTTGACATTGCACCGGTTGGCAATCCTTGGTAGTGTTGCAACGAAGGAACCCGACCTTGCTCAGGCCTGCCATCTGGCGGCAACGCTGGGAAGCTGCATGTGACGTCACGCGGTCGCTTATGCAACAATTACAACGCCAGGTGTTGGGTGGTCGAAAGAAGGCAGTGGGTCTTGATACTTAGATATAAACCTTATCATCATATGTTTTTTTTCCTGTAAAATGAAAACGTTACTTTAAAAACAAACAAACTCTCTTTTGATTTGAATCTTTTTGTTTCATAATTACACCCATATATAATGTCTTGTGTTGTAATCTGCATAAGAAATATATATCTATTTTTGTGAGAAAGGGAAGTATTGTCTTGGAGAGTAAAAACATATTAAAAAATCGAGCAAAGTTCAAAATAAAGCAGAACTGACTGTACTTTACCCCAAAACATTGTTCGCATGATATCATAGTTTATCCCAATGTTTGCACTTTATATCATAACCTAAATCAAGATCGTGTTGTAGATATTTCACAACCCGTTAGTTTTTAACTTAACAAGCGCAATGCCCTTACCATTATAAACCGTAGGAATTTTATAGGTAGAGAAATGACAAAGATATATTTACGAAATAAAGAAGAATAAAAGAGAGAAGAGATACAGAAGAAAGTGTAGCAGGAATTCTTGCTAGAATGTAGCGGAGAGAGACGGGAACTAGCGGAGCAAAGTACAAAGTGTTGGAGAAAAAACGCACGAAATCATCAACTCATAGTTACGAAATATAATGATATTTTAACCAGAAATAAAATATCTATGGTAGTAAGCACATTCTAGATTATTCTACGTCAGTATACAGCGTATAGTATTTAAGTAGCACTTCTCGCTATACAAATATCTTCACTATAGCGTGGTCTCTTTTCTTAAACGACTTACCGGAAACTTTCTCCTGTTGCCATATATGGGATATACGTTTAATCTTAAATAAATCATACTCATATTCTCATTGTTGATGTTGAATGTAGATTATATATATATACTTATATAAATATGTATATCACGAGTTTATATGGATACTATAAAAAATATCGTATTCCCAAATTTCTTTTCTTTGTGTTATTATCCATATTGAGTGTAAATAAAATGTAACTATAACAACTGTTTCTTTTACACACGTCCCTATAACATTTCATTCATTATTCCATCCGTTTCTTTCACACGTGGAGAAAAAAAATGTGAATTCCTTCGATCTATCTTCAACAAGTTCGTATAATATTTTCTTTTTCTTTAAGTCCTATCTCACTTCTTCCCTACCTCTTCCCCATCCTTTTATCATCTGTGGGTCCACTCCTTTCTCATTTATTTACTCTTCCCCATCTCCCTTCTCTCATTTTTTACTCTTCCCCATCTCCCTTCTCTCTTTTAGTCCCCTCTTCCTTCCTTTTCTCTCTCTTACTTCTCCCTCTCCCTTCTACCTTTCCCACCGTGTAAAACGTAAATATGCATAAACTGAAGGTCTAACTACTTCAATGCAGTGTACTTGCCTCGAAGAATAACAATGATGATAATGATTTTAATTTAA